GACATGGATATTTCAGCCCTGCTGTCTCGCAGCTGACGTGCAACCAGGTCTCAGTGAACATGTCTACATTGCAGTAATCCATCCGCAGTTGGCCCAGGGTGCCGCACTGTCAAATTGCAAGGTAAAATTTGGGGCATTGTCTTTAGCATCCCAGGCATGGGCGTTTTGCTGCAGGCTGTGGGAGTGGCATTGCATGGGACCTGCTACCCTTAATGATGTCCAGAAGGACGCATTATGAATGTGCCGAGTTAAATTTCTTCTTTTCACACATACACCAGCCCTGGAACAGAGAGAGTTACAAACAGCATGCAGGGCAATCCCTTCTTTCAGGAATCCCAGCCTGCTTCAGGTGCTCTGTGCCTCAGAAATGGACTCCAGTTACAGCCTGAGGCAGAAAGGGAATGCTCCTGCAGATAACATTGCAACTGTGACACAATTCATGCATATTACAACTAATGGCAGCTCATCTTCCCAAGACTGAACATTGGTTCAGACACTCCTCCGCATTTTTCCCTAGGGTGTAAGAATGCCATCTCTTGACTTTTGCCATAACATCTTATTGTGTGTCCATATTAAACCAATACCCAGGACACTCACAATGGAGATGCAAACTCTTAGGCTACGTCTACATTGGCATGATTTTCCGGAAATGCTTTTAATGGAAAAGTTTTCCGTTAAAAGCAATTTCGGAAAAGCACGTCTAGATTGGCAGGACGCTTTTCTGGAAAAGCACTTTTTGCGGAAAAGAAATCTCTGCTGTCTACACTGGCCCTTTTGCACACAAGTCTTCCAGAAAAAGTCTTTTGCCCGAACGGGAGCAGCATAGTATTCCCGCAAAAGCACTGACAATCTTACATGAGATCGTCAGTGCTTTTGCGGAAATTCAAGCTGCCAGTGTAGACAGCTGGCAAGTTTTTCCGTAAAAGCAGATGATTTTCCGGAAAAACTCACCAGTCCAGACACAGCCTTAGTATAACTGATTTGTTCAGACCTTTTTTGGAGTTTGTGTAGAAACTTATAGCTTGAGGACCAGCCACACTCTCTGGCAGTGAGGGAAGGAGGTAAACTGGCATATCCTGTGTCCAATGGTAGGGCTGGAAAAGAAGGCACTTCCCACTGCACATTCCCAACACAATTCAGTTTGTGGGATTCCCTTCCCCCCACCCCCAAGCTAATAGGAGCTGCTTGGAATTATCTCTGTAACTACCAAATAAATTCAGATGCAATGTTTTCTGGGCAAAAATGTTTTCTGAACAGCACGAATGTTGATTTTTTTTAAAATCAAAATGTTCATCAGAATTTTGAGCTTCACCCCTCCCAAAAAAGGGAGGGGATGTCATTTGGAATTTCAAAAAAATTATTGTCAGTGTTCTTTCCTTCCTCTGTTATTCTACCAGCCTTGGAACGCCTCAGAATATTTTGAAGTTCTGATAAAACTGAAGTGCCTTTCGAAATCATAACAATAATTGGTCAGTTCATTCCTGTTGTTTGTGTGTGGCTTTACATGTGGCAAAAGGGAAGACTCATTTTTAAAGATAGTAAAATCTGATTAAAAACTATAAAAATTGGCTGGTGTAGTTTGCCATTTTTTGAAACTGCTTTTAATTTTTTTAAGATATAAAAATTTGTCCTTCTGTGCAACAGAAAATCATCATCACGCTCTCCGGCCACAAAAGCTGTAACTGAAGTCATAAGTATATTTTTAGTATTGTTTTAAGTTTAAATAAAACAATCAACTGTGGGAGAGGGAGAGAAGGGGTTTTTTTTAGGAACATTTTGTTGAAAACAAAAAAACTTCTGAAATGTTTAAACCAAACTCTCCTGAAATCAATGATATTGCTTGAAATTGTTGATAGTCTTCGAACGATAATGAAGCCAGTGTCCCAGCATATAATAAACTCTGCAAAGGGCTGTTGTTCTATACTTAGATTGCAATGCTTAGATTTTTATTGGCAGATATCTGTTCCACCTTACCAACATAAACTAATGCCACAAAATTTTACAAATAGGCAGGGAAAGAAAAATGCTATGTGGGAACCTAGAGTCAAAATCTAGGGATTTAGACTTTTGAATTAGGCTTTTTACAAATTGACTAGTGAATTAATAATAAACAGGAATAATTCCTCCCTTTAATGATATTTACTTTGCTTATTTTAACATGGGATGTTGACCGTTTTAATGGTTTATAAAGCTTTATCTTTTTTAAATTCAGTGTTGACTGTAATTAAATAAGTGTCTGGCTTCCTCATAATTTCAAGCAACTGAAAAATTAAATCAGTGAAAACAGAAATATGCTTAAAAAAAAAAACCCTGATAACAGCCATTGGAAAAAAAAATCTGCCAAACCTAAAATACCTCCCGACCTAGCTAAATTCATTGGGCTGACATCAAATTCCTGTGTGACAGAGTGATCTGTTTGGATGCTGAACTGATTTTGAAATTGCTCCAGAGCCTTTTTAGTAACTTCACTTGAAATATAACTTAAGCAGGATGACTTTAATGGGACAATATAAGGGCAGCATATGTGAAACATATAACCCATCTTCAGATAATAGTCCAGTAGCCCACACTACATCTCGTGTTTATTGCACACATTTGTTATGTTTATAAAAAGTTTGTGCTCTATAGGGTATTAAAAAAATAGGGAACTGCTTCTTGATACATTGGGAGTTGAAATGTCCGAGTCGTGCAGATCTACAGTGCTTTTCTTTATAATGGTAAATGTAACATGGAACTGTATACATACCATTGTTAAGAAACATATTCTATCATGGTCGTGACTGCAGGCCCAGTTCAAGAACTGGCCGCGTGTACTGAATAGCATATGTGCATATGGTTTTAGGCAGGGGCTGTCTAATACTGTGTGCAATTTAAGACTCTGGCCTTCAAAGAAATGTGCATATGTACGTGAGTAGCCCCTTGATTTCAAGTGCTTATAGTTATGTAGAAGTCGTTGCACGATTGGTGTCTAAATAGACATGACAGATACACAGTAATTGACAGACAACATAGAAGGGATTCTATGCAAGCAAGCACACCCCTCCATCCAGATGAAGCCTCTGCTGAAGTCAGCATGGCTCCGTGGAGGGGTAGAGTTGTTCCCATTCAAAGCTGCTTGCCCGGCGGGGATCAGTTAGAATGGGTTGAAATAGCCGGAATAAAAAGTTTGAGGGATATTCTTGGCCCAAAAAAATGGCCTGTTTAACTTGTCTATATTTTTTGTCTTTAGGGGAAGTTGTGCTTTTTTCAGACACAAGTTTTTCATCCAAAATGTTCTGAAATGTGATGAAAGTGGTTTTCCTTTGATACAAGTCATGTTTTCCATCCACCAAGGGTGTGTCTAGACTACTTGGTTTTTTTTTAAAAAAAAATGGCCTTTTTTCGAAGAAGAAAAAAAAAACCTTCCCCTGCTTCTAGACTGCTATCACGTTCTTTCAAAAGTAAATCAAAAGACTGCAGCAGGTTTTTTGACCATGGAAAACTTTTTTATGAGAAATAATGCCTTTTTTTGACAGTGCTCTTTTGAAAAAAGGCGCTATTGAATGCACATTTTTTTCGAAAGAGAGCATCCAGACTGCCTGGGTGTTCTCTTTCGAAAAAGCGGCTTTCTTTTTCAAAAGTACCGCTTGCAGTCTAGACGCTCTTTTTTGAAAGAGGTTTTTTCAAAAGTATCTTTCGAAAAAACCTCTTTCGAAAGAGGCTTGCAGTGTAGATGTAGCCGTAGGCTACGTCTACACTGGCCCCTTTTCCGAAAGGGGCATGCTAATTTTCAACTTCAGAATAGGGAAATCTGCGGGAGATTTTAAATCCCGCGGGGATATTTAATAAAGATGTCCGCCGCTTTTTTCCGGCTTTTTCCCTACTTTGAAGTAGGAATAAGAGAGCCTCCGGAATAGGGCTTTATTCCGGAGGATCGGGCCAGTCTAGACGCTTTTTTCTGGCTTTTCCCCAAGCCAGAAAAAAGCGGCGGACATCTTTATTTAAATCCCGCGGGGGATATTTAAATCCCCCGCAGATTTCCCTATTCTGAAGTTGAAAATTAGCATGCCCCTTTCGGAAAAGTGGCCAGTGTAGACGTAGCCCAAATGTTTGGTGCCCATTGGGATAACAGTTTTGACAGTGTTTCAGAGCGGATCCATGTGAAGCTATTTCAGCAAAAAACAACAAGGCACCATAAAGACTAGCACGTTTATGTGGGCATACGCTTTCGCAAGACCCCTCTGATAAAGTGGGGTTTTTTGCCCATGAAAGCTTATGCCCAAATAAACTTGGTAGTTTTTAAGGTGCTACAGAATGCCTTGTTATTTTTGACAATGTTTTGCTAAATAGTTGAGGGTGGAGTGAGGTGAAATGGACCAATTTCAAACACTTCAAGCAGGACAAAAAAAAAGTTGATTTTTATTTCAAAATAAAGTAAGTCTCACTTACAGTCAAAAGTGCAGAACTGTGCAGGTTTCTTTATTAACTCCTCCAAACCAGTTCTTTTGTCCATTTCCCTTTCTTATGTGCAGATGTCCCAGCTATCTCTTCTGCCAAAATTCACTCCCACTAACTTGCCAGTTCCAGAAATAGGTTCTTTTCCCGAAAATTGGAGCATCACTGATCCACACGTGTGTTTGGGACAATAAAACAGTTCTCTCTTTTCTAATACTTACACAGTGCTTCCTGGATTTATATGATGATGTAACTTCAGAACCAGATTCTAATCTCAGGTATGAAATATATCACCAGATATTTCTACCAGAAATCACTGTTTAAAATATCAAACTTGCGCGCACAGACAATAACGTATGTTTCAGAAAGCACCTCGAGACTGGCCCTTGATTTCTGGTGGGCAAGCCAACATCAGTATATAAACTTCATATTAATTTTACGCAGTCTTATACATAATTCCTTTTCAGGGAGCAACAGAGACCTCAGTTGTATTGTGGAAATCATGAACATCTTATCATTTAAAAGTGAAGTATTTCTAATACGCATGTTGTTTCTGTCTCTTTCAGTCTATCCGGGAAGTCACGGGATATGTCCTGGTGGCTTTGAATCAGTTTGAGTATCTCCCATTAGAGAACCTACGCATCATTCGTGGGACAAAACTCTACGAGGACCGATATGCCTTGGAGATATTTCTTAACTACAGAAAGGATGGTAATTTTGGACTCAGGGAACTTGGCCTGAAGAATTTGACTGGTAAGGAAAACACCTATAAATAGCAGATAAGTCATAGTGGCGGTGGAGTGTGTGGACTATTTACACTGATACACTTGGATACTAGCATAAAGGAGCCATATGTGTACCGAGAGAGAGAGACAAGTTGAAAACTGTATGCAGTTGAACAATTTCTAGATGTCTAATCTGGTTCGCTGTTTGGTGCGTAGCAATAGTGTTTCTGGATTGATCCAATAAATTGTGATTTCACAATCCAGAGGATAGGGTTGGCTAGAAGGAATGAACATGGAAGGAAAGGTTCAGTGGCTGAACATGTAGGTATGAAACAGACTTGAAAAGCAAGGCCAGGTTTTCAGCCTGAATAAATTGGCTCTGAAGTCAACGGTGCTGCACCAGTTTACCCCAGTGGTGAGCCGGCCTGCTGAGTTTGGCTGACTTCTGCTAAAGAGTTGTATCTGCGTCTAGGGCACACACTTATACCTTACCTAAAGCATTACTTTTATTCCCTCTAATGCTCCTGCTTCTCTTTCATCTCTAGCTTGAGGAAGCAGAACTATTTTTAAAAAAGTAGATGAACTTTTGCAAAGTTCTGTTTCAAAGAGGTGCACGAGTGGCTTTCTGATTGTCAGTTTTCCATTATTTTCTGGTTGGATACAATTTCCTTGACACATAAGCTATCTTCAGCATAAGAACGGTGGCCCATTCCTTCTTTTAATTTGTAGATTTGGGGTCATGTCACAAGGTGGTGCAAATTGGCCTAGAGCTATTGTGACCATGTATGTCCCCACACGGTCTGGATTTTGGTGTTTATGAGATTGGTAACCCGTGTTTGTGGTAAACTGTACACTTGTGAGGCCGCTCAGGAGGAGTGCAGCTGGTGAGCAGAGTGCCCGCAGCTAGGTTTTGTGTTTCTGTTGGTGGTGCACATTTGCACATGCCTTAGTTCACATAAAAATTATTCTGCACAAGGATGGAAAGAACGTGCACGTGGATGGAGAAGATTAAAGGGAACATGGCTTGTAATCCTGGCTAGCATAGAACAGAAAGCAGGCAGATGCTCTGCAAACTTTTCCAGAATTCATTCAGACACTTAGCCATGACGTTGCTGGCTCAGAGGGTGAAACAGCCTTATTTATCGTTGGAACCTCATGAGGAGAGGTTGTTAACGGATCATTTTACATCACACTCGGGGGGTTTGTGACATGGAATCACTCGGCTTGTGGCTAAATGCAGATCACAAACTATAACCCTGGCTGGATTTAAAGTTTGACCTTCAGTACGCAAAAGGTGTATTTCAACTTTTTTGAACTGAGTTTAGGCCTCACCTATCCCCAGTCCGTTCCTTTTTTTCTGTTGTTGTACAGAGCAGTTGACATGGGAGCAAATAGTTCCCGCCTCCTTTTGTTTATGCCTTTTTGGATTGCCTGAAATTATCACCTGCTTTTAGAAAGACAAAAATCAGACTGCTGTGACATAGCAACCCACAAATGGCCCCATTCTCGTTCCATTACATGGTATTTCCTCATACTGAACTACAATGTCATTTTGGAAACATGGAGCAATTTTTTTTGAAACATTAATGAGCATAAATCACCGAGGCCCAGGTTTTTGAAGCTATATAAACATTACTCAGCATTGATAGAATTCAGACTCGGGTGTCTAAATCCTTTTGAAACTGCTATTTAGGCTCCTAAATCAGCGAGGCATCACAATGGTGAGTCCAGCAATGCCTAGTTTTTAAAACCTGGTCATAAGGCATGTAGGAAAACTTTGACTTAATCAAGCTTAATGTCCTAAGATGCATCACTCACTTCTGAAATTGGAATTTATTCTCCTAAGTCACTTAGGCACATGGGAACATTTTTTTCTCATGATCTTCCCCTCCGCCCAATTATCCTTTTCTGCATTATCCTCAAAGCTATCTATTTCAGGCACATATGGACGCATTTAAGAAATAAAGCGTATTGTGGTTTACCCAAGAGTGCACTACATTGGGTGCACTGCAAAACATGCCACCAACACCCTTGTGACCTGCAACATGCTGTGATTTCTTGCTAACAGAACATGTTTTCTAGCTACCAAAGGAGACTCTGAAACATGGATATTAAAAATAAATAAATAAATAAAAAACCGTAAACATCATTGCCATCCTATAAATAGCTCCTTGAGAGAAAACAGAGTTTGTATGTAATGGCAGGCATCATTACGCTGTCAGGGAAGGCAGACAGAGTTTAACGACTCACCTTTTAAGGAACTGGCCTCCCTTTGTGGTGCCAACCTCTGCAGACGGTAACTTTGAAACAGAGACAGTATCGCTTTCTGGCTGGCTGTCCGACCCTGGATCAGATTGTACACAGTACTCACCTCTTTTCAGTCAGCAACGTGGTCCTGCCAGAACCAGGTGGTCTGCAGTTGTGGTATTAGTCATCTCATGAACCACATACTGGCTTTGACTGCATGCTCTTATTTCCCTGTTATACCCATTGCCTTGATAACGGAGTGTTCTTCTCAGTCCCGGAGTCTTCCATCTGTTTTTCTCCTATCCCCCACCTCATCATTTAACCCCTCTATTTTCTCCTCCAGTCCAAGAAATCTCCCTACTCTATGATATAAGATGTGCACCCAACTGCTTTGTGGCTTCTGTAAGGGTATGTCTATGCTTGCCCCCTACTTCAAGGTAGGGAGGCAAATGAAGCATACCAAAATTGCAAATCAAGTCCGGGATTTAAATATCCCGCGCTTGATTTGCATGTTCCCGGACAGTCGCCATTTTAGAAATTCACTAGCCCGGAGTAACTGCCCGTGTCTACACGTGGCAGTGAAACGGGAGTCCAATTTAAAGCCCTAACTTGAATTAGTTGGTATTCCTCCTGCAATGAGGTTTACCAGCTAATTCGAATTAGGGGCTTTAAATCGGACTCCTGTTTCACTGCCGCATGTAGACACGGGCAGTTACTCCAATGGCGACCGGACAGGAATATGCAAATCAAACGTGGGATATTTAAATTCCGGGCTTGATTTGCAACTTCGGTATGCTTCATTTGCCTCCCTACTTCGAAGTAGGGGGCACATGTAGACATACACTAACTTACTCTATGTCTACATTGTGAGAAAAGGTGTCTTCCACCCCCATATGATCTGTAGGCTTTATTTTGAGCTGCTAACCTGGGTGAACAGCCCAATTGCTACATCTTAAATGCTGTTTGAAACCAAGTTAGCTACTGCAGATGAGCTGAGTTAAGAACACACCTTTTGCTTTTGCTTTGCACTGTAGACATACCCCTGGATGAAAAGCATTCATAACAGACAGTAGAGGGGCTGGTTTTTTTAGCAGACACTTAGCCAGGACTTTGCTGGCTCATAGGGTGAAACAGCTGCCGTTTTAAGTTCCCAGCTCAGGATTTCATTCCTGAACCAGCTGTCATGATCCCGTTCGCTGTTCATTTGACTCAGAGACATTCCTCATAAAGGTCACTTTTGTACATCTGGCACAGCATCAAACTGGCACAGTGAATAATTTAATTTTCCTTTCTTTCAAAAAAAGCCTCCGAACACCACCGTTAGCTCAGCCTCTGGCCCTTTATTTATTATGGACTATTGGTTGCTGCAGCCACTTTAGATAACGTAGGTTTCTAGCCATCCTCTCTTGGAATTTGTTGCTCAAGATGCATAATTGTTTCTAGGAAGAAAAGTGGCTAGCTCCGTTAACTTTTAGGGTACGTCTACCCCGCAAGCTTGTTTTGGAAAAGCAATTCCAGAAGATATCTTCCGGAATAGCATATTTTGAAATACAGCATCCACACTACAGGGAAGCCTCCAAACTAGTCCAAGGTAGGCTCCCCTAATGTGGATACTCTATCTTGATTTAGTGCCCCAAGAGGCACTGGGGGAGGAATAGCTTAGAATGGCATTGGGGAGGAGCTATTTTGACATAGCAGAAGTGAAGCGCTCACACACCCCTTCTTCCGAAAGAGCTTTTTCGGGAGAGGTGTTATTCCTCATGGAATGAGGTTTGTCAACGTCAAAAAAAGCCCTCTGTTATTTCAATTTTCTTTTGAGTTGCTGTATGGATGCTAGTATTGTTTTTCCGGAATAACGGTCAGTGTAGATGCACCCTTAGACATGTAGCAATTTGCATGCAACTTGGTGGGATGAGCGTAAATTGCAGAAGGGAAGAATTTAGAGGAAGCACTGGGAAGTCAGGTTAGGAGCATGCGATTTGCATGCTAGCTGCAGTTGGGTCATCTCTGTCAAAAGTTCTCTATGGGTACGTCTACACTAGCCCCCTAGTTCGAACTAGGGAGGCTAATGTGGGCGACAGAAGTTGCAAATGAAGCTTGGGATTTAAATATCCCGTGCTTCATTAGCATGTTCCCAGACGGTTGCCATTTTGGAAATTGACTAGCCCGGAATAACTGCCCGAATCTACACATGGCAGTGAAATGGGAATTTGAAGTAAAGCCCTAACTTGAATTAGCTGTTATTCCTCCTGCAATGAGGTTTAACAGCTAATTCGAATTAAGGGCTTTACTTCGACCTCCTGTTTCACTGCCGCGTGTAGATGCGGGCAGTTATTCCAGGCTAGGCAATTTCCAAAATGAAGACCGCCTGGAAACATGCTAATGAAGCGCAGGATATTTAAATCCCATGCTTCATTTGCAATTTCGGTCGCCCTCATTAGCCTCCCTAGTTTGAACTAGGGGGCTAGTGTAGCCATACCCTTAGTAAACGGACACGTTTCATAAGCATGCAATCCTTTCACCTTATTACTCAGCATGAGAAAGAAGCCCAGCCTGAATGCTTAAAAACAGCTTACAGGTACTGAAGACGGACTAACGCAGACTTCCAGCTAATCATAATATTGTCTAGACCAGAAGTTTTCAAACTTGGGTCACGGACCCTCCAGGGAAAGCCACTTCTCACAGCCACGATTGGTTGGAAATGGAAAACTGCAGCCAATGGGAGCTGCAAGGCCCTGTGGCTGGGGAGCGTTAGAGTAAACATTGTGTTGCAGGTTCATC